AGAAGAAGAAGAAGAAGAAGAAGAAGAAGAAGAAGAAGAAGAAGAAGAAGAAGACGACATCTCATCATGGAAGCTGTAGTGTGTCACAGTGTGTTCTAAAGTACATCTCTCTGTCCACACATCTTCACTTGCTTTCCTGACTACTGAAGGTGTCGATGGGGGTGGGGGGTGGGCAGAGGGGAGAGGACATCACCTGTGTACACACACCACCTTGTAGCAGATTTGTGGTGGGCCCAGCTCTTGGTGCTGGCTCATCTGTGCCTTCACCACCAAGGTCAACTCCGCTGTGCTGTCCAGGTGAGGTACAGGGCCCAGACTCTGGAGTGCTGCAGCTGGTAAGGGGCAGGGTTAGCCCTCAGCGCTCATGACCCTGTGGCAGCTTTTCTGACTGCTGAGATGGCGTGGGGTGGGAAGGGGCATCACCCCTGCAAAGCAGAAGAGTGGAGGGGTCAACTCTCCCACACTCATGCCTTGGGGTTTGTTTACCTGACACTAGGACCAGCTCCACTGTGCTACCTGGGCGAGGTACAGGGCCTGATCTCCCAAGTGCTGCCATGGTGAGAGGTAGGGCTATGTCTTTAGAGAACTGCAGCCAGTGAGGGGCAGGAACAGTTCTGCACAGCCCCTGGGCATTCATGACGACCTAAGTGGCTGCTCAGACCAGGGACACCCCATGCTCTCTGGTGGTAATGTGAGCCTCGGATACCAACCCTGCTCCTTCGCTGCCTGCATAGCCTCAGACCCAGACAGGACCCTTAGCAGAAGCTGAGGCTGGGATCTCACCACAGCCTCACAATAGGCTGCTGTCAAGCTGCTCCATTTCTTTCTCTCCCATCTGTCCACCACACACTCATGCATTGTGGTGGCTCCTGATGAAGGTGGGCCCCTAGGTGACATTCTCTGTGCTGTGTGGCATGGTGGGAAGTGGTGTTTTTGGCCTCCTGTGCCATGTACCTGAGGGAGGATCTGTGGGTGGCATGGCTGTCTTCAGGTCTCCGTCTTTCTCCTCCTGTGCTGTGCTAGGTAGTGGTAGGCAGGCCCCTGTGTGTCTAGGACCCTCCCATGCTGTAGACTGGAGGGTCTACAAAACATGTCACAACTCAGGTCTTTGTCTTCCTTCTCCTGCGCTGCAATGCCTGGATTTAATTTGATTTTTATGAGTTCTAGGCATAAAACAGTTTAGGCCACCAAGCCAGACATGAAGCTAGGACTTGAACAAGCTAGGTCCCTGAATAAAGAACTGCCATCTGCTCTGCCCCGACTGATATAAGAATACTACCACCATCAAGGTATCTCTTTGCCCATTGCTGGGGGTGTCAGTTGTTTTCTTAAAGATAGCCATACTGACTAGTTTGAGATATATACTATTATTTTTTTATCTGCAATTCCCTGATGATAAAATATTTTTGGCCATCTATATTTCTTTATTCAGTCTGTTATCTCACTTATTGATTGGAAGTTTTATACTTTTGGTGTTTAATTTTTGCAGTTCTTTATATATTCTAGGAGCCAATCTCTTGTTAAAGTATAATTGGCAATTTTTTTCATTCTGTAGGTGGACTATCATTAGTCGATGGTTTCTTTTACTGTGAAGAAGCCATTTAGTTTTAGTTTATCTCGCTTGTCAATTCTTGAGGATATTTCCAGTGTTATGGAGGTTCTATTCAGAAAGTTCTTGCTTTGAAGAACTTACACTTCTTCAAAGTTATTTTCTTTTTTTTTTACACTTCAAAAGTTATTTTTCCTATGCAGTTTCAACTTTTCAGGTTTTAAATCAAAGCTTTTGACCCAGCTTTGAATTAATTCTTGTTCAGGATGACAGATAATGGATCCAGTGTAGTCCTTGTGGATGTCTAATTTGCAACTTGTTTTTTTCTAATGCATGTTTATGTTTTTGACACATTTGTCAGAAATGATCTGTCCACAGAAGTGTAGGTTATGGGTCCTCTTCCAGTTCATTGATCTACATGTCTGTTTCCGTGGACGCACCATGCTGTCTTTGTCATTACGTCTCTGTGGGATAGCGTGAGGTCCGCTGATGTGATGGCTCTGCAGGGTTTGTCCTGCTTAGTCTATTCATGGTCTTTTGTGTTTTTATATAAGCTTAGTATTATTTTTTTAGTTTGTAAAGAATGTCATTAGAATTGTGATGAAGAGAGTATTAAATCTGTAGATTGTGTTTGTTAGTCCAACATTTCACACATTATCTCTGCCAATCCAGGACATAGATCCTCTCATGAAATCCATTCTTTCCAGTGCCTTTTTGATGGGGGTGTCCTTCTTCTTTCTCTATAAAGTATTTTAAAAACTATCTTCTGTAATATTGTCTTGGCAGTCATGAACTCACTTATAGGTTGCTTGTCACACAAGTAACTTTGTTATCAGTTTAAAAAGAATGACGACAGTAGATATGTCAGTCTTGGTTACTTGTTATTTACTTTCGGGATTGAAGCGTATCATTTCGTGCTTTCCTGGCTTTTAGGACTGCAGATGAGAGGCTTTACGTATTCTGGAATCTGTGTCCTGTGGATGAGTTGGTGTTCCCCCTTACAGTTCCTAATATTTGTTATTTGTTCTTTGCTTAACATTTTTTATTTTCTGATTATAAAATGGAGTGAAGAGGATTTTCTCTTGTGCAGTCTACTCAAAGTTCTGAATTCCCTTTGTATTTCAACGTCTGTTTCTTTTTCTTTTTCTAGACTTGGGAAATAGGAAAGATAGGGGGAAAAAGACTTACCAATAATGAAAATGTTTACATCCAACAATTAGAAGAGAAAAAGGTAAAACTTAAGAAAAATATAAAACAATTGTAAGTATCAAATATTTGTGTGTGTGTGTGTGTGTGTGTGTAAGAAACACGGGGAAACAAGAAACTAAGGGAAAAAACTGCCCTAAACTGTAAAAATACATGAACAAAATTAAATGACTGTATGAAGAGAAATAACAAATAAAAAAATATATATATATTAAAAAAACCCAAATACATACAGTAAAAATCCTGCTACGTGAATATTGTGGGGGAAGAAAGAACCTCACAGAAGAAGCAATAGAAAGGAAGACGTGAGGCTGTGTTGGAGCAGCTTCTTCAGAAAAGCATACTCATGGAGGAAGAGGGTTCGGTGAACTTGTGGGCTCATGTTTCCGTTTTTTGTTTTTGCTGAGTCTGTATTGTTTCTCTAGTTAGTATCAGAGGGCTTTCCTTGCTGCTGACTAGGGACCTCTGCTGGCCACATTGAGCTTTGCAGTCTGTCTTTCACCCTCCCAAGAGGGTGCCCATGAGGTGTTTTTATCCACGGCTGATCCCCATGCCAGAGGGTTCCGCATCTGTATTTTAGGATGTGAGAGCTCTGTGCCTGTCTTGATGGTGGCACTGCTCTGCTTTGGTAAGGTTTTCTTTCAGGAGTAGCTTTTTGTTCCCCTTTCCTCTCTAAGGAGGTGTAAGCTGGAGGCAGCATTTAGTTGATTTCTTTGGCACATTTCCCTTCTGCCCCCTTCTTTTCAAGTATTCATTCACTTTTAAAATGAACTTCTGAAATTCTTCCTCTACTTCTCACTGTGGGAAAAAGTTCATTTTGTCCCCTGATTCACCTTTCTCAGCTCACATAGAGGCAGTCTTCTATTTTATCCATGTGAATTAAAGTCCTCATCTCCCCTGCAGCTCCCTCCACAAGAACCTGCACCTTATACTGATCACTCTACAAAGGCTGAATCATCGAGTAGAACCCTGACACCATTATTGTACTTGCAGACAGGAGCCTGGCATGGCTGTCCTCTGAGAGGCTCTACCAACAGATGACTGAGACAGAAGCAGATACTTACAGCCAACCATTGGACTGAGGTTGGGACTCCTATGGACGAATTAGCGGAAGGATTGAAGGAAAGGAAGGAACGGAAACTCCATAGGAAGATGAACAGTGTCAACTAACCCAGACCCCTGAGAGCACCCAGAGAGAAAGCCAGCGACCAAAGAGCATACATGGGCTGGTCTGAGGCCCCTGGCACATACGTAGCAGAGGACTGCCTTGCCTTCTCAGTGGGAGAGGATGTGCCTAATCCTGTAGATACTTGATGCCTGAGGGAAGCGGGATGCCTGGGGCAGGGGCACCTTCTCAGAGGTGAAGGGGAGGAAGATTAGGGGAAGAAATCTACAAGAGGAGGCTGGGAGGAGGGCAACATTTGGGAATAATAATAATAATAATAATAATAATAATAATAATAATGATAGAGGTGGAAACAATGCAGACCCGGAGCCAAGTTGTCTTTAACTCCCTCAAGTGGCCAGTTACTGCTACTTGAGGCATTTACTGCCTTCTGTGACCTAACATCTTGTTATTAGGTAAATCCTTTGGAATATATGAACAGATCCCAGCTCATCCACCAACTTGAGCTGTTGGATGCACAGCATCCTCATGTCAAACGCTGTGAATGCCAGATAGCATCTGGGGCCTGTAGCAGAGGTTTCCGATTTCTCTCTAACCTGCACTCTTGTGCCCATCAATAAATTTAAAAAGTACCTTACGGTCTCCTTTTTTTCTGTTACTGTAAAGCTTTTGAAAATTTTACCTTGTTGGAATGTAAGGTAACCAAATCCAGGAAATCCCAGTGCCAGAAGTGATATACCATGCTGTATGTTGGTCATTGAGGTCCATAAGGTCCCCCAAACAATATAGGCAATTACCATAGCTAATTTCAAGATGCTAAGACCCCATTTCTGAATACACTACGCTCTTTGGTCATAGGACATGGAAACATCAAGCTGGAACTGTTTGGAGGCTTCCTTTCAGCTGGGTAGATTTCACAGTGCCAGAAGATGGTATGCAGTCTTCTGGGTGAGGGCACTCATCGGTAGTTGTATTCAGCTATAGACCCTGTGCCCTATACAATCTACCCAGTGGCAGGTAAGCTATGCCCACTGGAGCAATAGTGGTATGGCTAGTATGGGAGTAACCAACCATTTTCTGATTGGGTTTAAGGTCCACTCCACAGTACTCACCCCTGCTAGTGTAAACCTGGTTAAAGGCTCATGGTGGTGTGGTTATGGGCCTCAGTGGGAAACTTACTGCTTTTGTTTCACTAAATGGATGTGATGTGTCATTTGAATGACTTTGTATAATTAGGTTGAAACCTATAGATTGGTGTTGCTCAGACCTCCCCTTTTTGTGTGTTTTTTATTGCAGAGACTCATAACTGGTCAAAGCACTGGAAATAGGGGGATGATTGAGTGCTCAGTTATCAATGGTTCATTTATGCCATCACCATACAAGGTTCATTGTGGAAGAAGGTGTAGGAAAAACGTAGAGTTGGAGGAAGGAAAGGGGTTTCGTGGACCAACCTTGGGAACCAGATACGGCTGTTGTATTTATGAACTCAGAACAGCTTGATTACTTGCCCACAACCAGAAGATCTGACCTGTCAATATCCCATCATGGGCAGAGGAGGGGCTTATGCGGCTCTTCTCTTCCTTTAGGATTTACAGTCAGTTAAGGTTCTCTAGCTAGGTTAGTTGGGGCTTATAAGCTCCCCACCCTTTCCTAAAGAGCTTTTGGTTGTTAATAGTTTCTAGGGGAGGGGACAAAAGTTTCTTTAGTGATACAGCCATTACTAAGCTGCTCATGGTTTGTTAAGTAACCCCTAACTCAAGTTTATGTAAGTTACCTCAGCTAAACTCAATAGGTTATCAAAAAGTGTGTGTGTGGGTTGTGGGGAGATGGTTTAGTGGTCAAGAACACTTGCTGCTCTTGCAGAGGACCTGAGTTTGATTTCCGGCACTCACAACAGGTAAGTCACACCTGTTTGTAACTCCAGGTCCAGGAAATTGGACACATTCTCATGGTCCGTACACAGACACACACTCATACACATAAATAAAAATAAACCTTAAAAACAGACACAAAGCTAGCAGGTGGTGCAGTTGGGAAGGAGTGTGAGGGAGGTAAGAGAAGGTAGTGGGTATTGAATATGATTAAAATACAGGATATATGTGTAATCACACATGTCAAACGCGATCTGTGTGGGGGTTGCTGAGGGCAGTGGATAGTGGAGATGAGTAAAACAGTCATATTAGGAGACCCATTACTTATGGGATCACTGAGGCAGGAGTTATGTATTCTTAATGCATTGTTAAATCACCATGAATGACAACTTTATTGTAAACATGTCTCTTAATGTTAATTTTCCTGATTTGGATAATAAATTAAGAACTGCTTCATCCTATGGAGCTATGTATGGCCTTGAGTGAACAAATATCAGTCAAGAAGGCAGTCTGGAGGTGAGTGACTTCATTTGCCTGAGGGACTGATGTGATTGGGGCAGGTGCAGCCCTTCATGCTTGGTGAGAATATTGCTCTTCATTGGTGTGACATACTGCCCTGTGCACATACCCTGGACACACCTCCACTCTGGCTATATAAGCGCTCTGCTTGGTTCACACTGCAAGTTAGCCTTGAGATACCAGCTAGACATTGCCCTCTGGTGCTGAAGCACTTGTTGCAATAAAAGGCCCGGTCTTGCCTATTTTTTTTTTGTTTTTGTTTTTTTATCATTAGTAGAGTGAGTTGAGCTGGTAACATGAGGAAAGGAAGGAAGCAGGGGCAGTGAAGGCAGTGTTATTAGTGAAGGAAGTGTTCCTGGTGACATTGGCAGTGACATCAAAAGGCTGGGACAGACATGACGAGGAGCAGAGGCAACAGAGACGAGGAGGCCTGTCAAGAGCTGAAGACAAGAAACTTCTGGCCCTGGTACTGGGAGATTTCTAAGGATCTGTCAAAGGGCCAAGGTCTCAGATACCCCAGACTGAAGAGCTGCAACACTTGTCACTGCAGGAATGTGGTTCCAAGAGGAATCTTAGGACTGCGTGCTGCAAGCATTCATTGCTGAGGATTAAGAGAGTTGCCAAGTGCTAGGGCTGCTGATGCTTAAAGCCCAGAGCAATAGTCCTTTGCTGATGCTTAAAGCCCAGAGCAATAGTCCTTTAACCTGAGTACTTTAAACCATCTCTTTGGCTTTTTAAAAGGAATATATATATATATATATAATCTCTGCCACAGCCTTTTGATGTCACTGCTGATGTCACCAGGGATGCTTCCATCACTGCCCCTGCTTCCTTCCTTTCCTCATGTTATCAGCTCAACTCACTCTACTAATGATAAAAAACAAAAATAGGCAGGACCGGGCCTTTTATTGCAACTAGTGCTTCAACACCAGAGGGCAACGTCTAGCTGGTATCTCAAGGTTGTCTTGCAGTGTGAGCCAAGCAGAGTGCATCTGCTACATACATACATACATACATACACACACGCACACACAAACACACATATATATGGTGTGCACAAACACACATACACACACGCGCACACACACACAAACACACATATATATGGTGTGCATATGTGCATGTGTGTGTGTATGCATGTGAGCAGAGTGCTTGAAGAGGCCAGAAGAGAGGTTTAGGTCCCTTGGAGATGAAGTTACAGGCTGTTGTATGTAACTGCCTATGAGCTGCCTGATGTGGGTGCTAACTGAACTTACATCCTCTGCAAAAGCAGGGCACATCTTAACTACTGAGTCATCTCTCCCCAGCCATCGTGCTGGATTTCAAAACCTGGAACACTAGCCCTCTATCTCTCAGGACTTGGAGTTGTAAGCTTCTGGGACTCCCTCCAAGCCCAGACTTTTGGAACTCCAAGGCCTGGGACTAGTGACCAAGGCCTGGGACTAGTGACCAAGGCCTGGGACTAGTGACCAAAGCCTGGGACTAGTGACCAAGGCCTGGGACTAGTGACCAAGGCCTGGGACTAGTGACCAAGGGGAGCTTTACTCCTTATCTTGGCAGGACAGAAGAACCATGACAAGCCATCTGATAACAGTAAAAGGTGGGACAATGTTAATTTGTAAAATTGAAGTTAGTTATACAATTTGTGTCTCTGAAGTTGTAGAAACATTGTTTAGATATCAAAAATGAAAGCAAAGAAAAGGAAATGGTCTCACAGTGCCACCAGACAGCTCACTGCCTGAGCACATCAGGGTGCAGAAGCTGTGTCAGCAGGTGGCAGTGTTGTATAGGCGGTGAGCCTACAGAAGCCTGGTCATGGCTCACTGAGCTGGCCTGCAAACAAAAGCAGTGATCTGAATCTAGTCAGGTCTCTACTTCTATAATGGGATCAGATTGTTGTTTTAAGAAAATGTTTCCTCCCCACTCCTTCCCCCCCACCCCCCAACTAGCCACCCCCACCCTCCCCCACTCCCCAACCCCCCACCCACGTGGATAAGTATCTATATATGTACATTATATGCTTTCTTCCTATCTGAACGTTATTTTCTTCTCATACTATTTCTAATACGTATGAATAGGTGTGGCACAGAGAAACAGTGTGCAGAAGCTGTGTCAGCAGATGGCAGTGCTGTATAGGTGTTGAGCCTACAGAAGCCTGGTCATGGCTCACTGAGCTGGCCTGCAAACAAAAGCAGTGATCTGAATCTGGTCAGGTCCCCACCCCAGTAATGGAATCAGACTGTTGTTTTTAGAAAATCTGTCTCTCTTCCCTTCCCCTATCTCTCTGTCACACATGTATGACTATTACCCCCTCCCCTGCCCCCACATACGCACACAGTTTCCACCTATCAGAACATTGTGGTTTGTTTTTTTTTCTTTTTGTTTTTGACTTTTCAGACTTTATTTCTAGTTTGTATGGACAGTTTCAGCACAGAGGAAACAACAATAAAAGCCAGCCAATATGCCAGTAATCAGGCTTTTAATTATATTGAAAATAAATAATCCTCTTTAACAAATCAACAGTAGGTGATGCTTCATTGATGATAAACTGTCTCATTAATACAGCTGTTTTGAACATAGGTTATCTGAAATAGATATTTGAATGCAATGGAATTTGATGCATGAAGAAACAGTATAGATAGACCTTGTAATCTGGTCAGTCCATGATCTATGGTAGGGCCCTTTCTTGTGTGGTTGCAAATCAAATATTTATGCTTCCTAAGCCCTTGGTTTAGATACATATATCCAAACGGCTATGAAACAGGCGTGGTGAGTTGGCTTAGCTGATGAAGGCATCTGCCACTGAGACTGATGGCCTGAGTTCAGTCTCTGGGACCCACATAATGGAAAGAGAATCAACACATACAAGGTGTCCTTTGACTCCACTTCTTTGTCATAGCATGCAGTCCCTGCCGCCACGCACACAAACAATAAAGAAATAGACATATGCAGTACAGAGCTTTGAAAAGCCCATAATGTGAGTATATTTATAAAATACTTAAGCTAGGTAAATGAGTATATCTGAAAGTACTTAAGCTGGGTAGTGTCAGCACCAGGGAGGTGGAGGCAAGTGGATCAAGACTTTGAGGCCCTGCCTCAAACAACAAATGAACAAATGTAAATCCTGTCCCTCTGTAAGATGCCTGATTTGCATATAACCTGTGTGAAGCCTGGTGTTTACTTGAAACAATTTATAGACTGTTTAAAAATATAAAACTCAGGCTAGACACAGTGGTGTATGTC